AGGGGGCCTCCTATTTTTGCAGGGGGGCCTCCTATTTGTACAGAGGGCCTCCTACTTGTCCATGGGGCTTACTATTTGTCTAGGGGCCTCTTATTTGTCTAGGGCCTCCTATTTGTCCAGGAGGCCTCCTACTTGTCCAGAGAGCCTCCTATTTCTCCAGGGGACTTCCTGTTTTCCGGGGGCCTCCTACTTGTTCAGGGGGCCTCCTACTTGTTCAGGGGGCCTCCTACTTGTTCAGGGGGCCTCCTACTTGTTCAGGGGGCCTCCTATTTGTCCAACAGGGCCTCCGATTTGTCCAAGGGGCCTCCTATTTAAACAGAGAACCTTTTATATGAATATCGGACCTCCGTTTGCAAAGAAGCTGATGCGTCTCGGGGGCCTCCACTATTGGGGTCCCAAAATGACAATTGGGGTCCCAAATGTTCGCATTGGGGTCCCACATGGGACCTCGAAAGTATACAAAGTTACACCCATGGTGCCATCGATTGTACCTTTTACCGCAACCCTGTCGATACCTATATTAGAAGGCTTGCCTGAGTTACTAATAGTCTTCCATTTAGAGAAAAATATCTATCAGTAATCAAAATCGTTAGGTATGCTGGTTCTGTTGCTCACCCCTTATCTACAGGCTACAGCATCGGCGCGGCACACGTCTTGGTGATTCCTGCTCTGTTCCTCCTGTTTCGTTTTTTAGCCGTCAACCTTGAAATTTACCACTTTCCTAACAACTCAACAGGAAAAAATGGAACGCGATATTTGGGAAAAATGTGCGTTTCCGAAAAGTTTTATTTCTTCTTAAGCAGTCTGAACAAAAATAGAAGTCATTTCTCATTTGAAACTACCCCAATTATCACGATATGATAGTGCCCGTTATTGGCAATGTAGGTGGCAGCACCGTCGACTGCGACTTTTTCGCTGTAACTTCGACCTGCCCGAGCCTCGTCAAATCGCATTTTTACGCAAAACCAACTGCAGGGCTAGTGTTTTGGCATGCTCGCGCCAATTTATATCTTTGTCTAACGCGAATCTGCGACTATCGACACACCCTACTGTCCATGATCCTCTCAAGATCCACGTCGTCGTCTCACCGTGCTCGCCGAGTTCCCAGACAATGTGTGTTTACAGAGCCGTGACGCTGTATTCCGGCTCGCTGATGATGCTGCCCTAGCGCGGCGTGTGATCACCGGCCAGCTGCTACGGACAGTCGTCAGTCGCCTTGCATCAGAACAGCCCATGCCGCTGCCGCCCGGCGGGAGAGGCTTCTCTGAACCGACTGTTTGGCGCTGACTCACGCCGTCCGATGTTACCAGGAATGACCCGGGTATATGGTTCAAGTCCTGCTCTTTTAGATGAATCCAGGATCACCGATATGCCTGTATTTTTTCTTTTACATTTCTATAAGCGAATTAATTTTGATAACAGCGCATGTTGCTGTAAAGAACACCTAAGAAGTAGGTACTTTCAAAATCGGGAGCCCCAGAATCATGTCAAGGTCACCGGAAGGTCAGGTCAGGTCATTTACCTTTGATGACCTCGGTTCACATTTTCGAGTTCTATAAGATTCTAGGCTAGTTTTTTTGAGCTAAATTCGAATTTAGCAACCATTTGACCGTTTGCGAAGTAGTTTTGGTGCCTTCGTAACATGTTACGAGGCTGTCAGAGGCGGTTGCCACCTACTACGAACACCCGGCAAAACCCTTACTGGTTGACCTGACCTGACCTGACCCGACCTGGCCTAAATGCATGAAGACATCATCTATAATCATAACTAACATGATATTCGTGATCATCACCCCGAAAAAGCATAGCAGCCACCCTTTACGATGCTCTAACAGGTCTCGATTTTCCCGGCTTTTGGGTCATTGACCTGACCTGGAAGGTCAAGTGATGACGACCTAGGACCTTAACACTCGCCGGCACAGGCCATTTTGCGTCCTTCGACGGCACAAGGGGGGCTGGTACGACCCCCCCCCCCTCGCGTTTGGCCCCTGATCGAGCTAGAGCTTCGCGGAAAAAACGAGCGTGCTGACCGTCACGAGAGGAAGCCGATGATATCCAACTTTAATGTCCTAGGTCATCGGGTGACCTTCCAGGTCAGGTCAATGACCCGAAAATCGGGAAAATCGGGACCTGTTAGAACGTCGTAAAGTGTGGCTGCTATGGAGTTTTTCGGGGTGCTGATCCGAATGATATCATGTGAGTTTTGATCACAGATGATGTCTTCATGCATTTAGTCCAGGTCGGGTCAGGTCAGGTTAGGTCAACCAGTAGGGGTCCTGCCGGGTATTCCTAGTATGGTGTCAACCGCCTCTGACAGCTTCGTAACATGTTACAAAGGCACTAAAACTAGGCTTCGTAAATGTTCATCGGGCTGCTAAATTCGAATTCAGCTCCAAAAACTGGCCTAGAAACATGTAAAACTCGAAAAAGTGAACCGAGGTCATCAAAGGTCACTGACCTGACCTGACCTTCAGGTGACCTTGACATCCACCCTAATGCATGGGAGCAACATCAAATCACATGTTTGAACGTTTGAAAGCACGAAAAGCTTGCAAAAGCGCGGCTAATGCGAGTCGACATACGCCGAATCGTGATTCCGGCCAAACATGGTCTCGGAAAGTAGGTCACAGGTCAAAGGTCATTTGGGTCAGGGTCATGAAATTTTCAGGGTAGGTGTAAAATTGATAAATGCGAGGGTACTGAAAGTTTCGTTGCAATCGGCAGCTTTTTACGCGAGTTATTCGCGAAAAAAAACCTTAGGGGGGTTGCATCACCCCCCCCCCCCCCTGTGTCGGCGAGGGTCGGCGAGGGTTAAAATTGGGTATCATCGGCTTCCTTTCATCACGAGCAACACGGTCATTTTTTCCACGAAGCTCTAGCTCGAGCAGGGTCGAAACGGCAAGGGGGAAGGTCCAACGGACCCCCCCCCCCCCCATATACGTTCGCAGCTGGAAAATACCAATACGGGCGAGGGTTGATGGATTATTAGAGACAATTTTCCAGGTTGCCCCCCCCCCCCCCCCCAGTCAAATTCCCTTAAAATAGGCTCTGCATCAAAGGCTCACTTATGTTGTGAGAAATCTTTGGCGATGCCGAGCGGTCCCTTTGTTTTTACCTCTCAACTCCTAACGCTTTTTGTGCGCCCGATTCTAAGTACAAATTTTGGCCCCTGGCAGACCTGATTAGTCAATAGGCTGGGTGTGACGTCTTCATGAAGGTAGGTCGTCGCACTCTAACGATTTAACTGCAGGTCATGTTATCTAATTTAGGTATTGCCTGCCTTTGTGGGAAATTTTCTTGGCTGTGTCCAGCGTCCCATATCTCCATTCTGGATGCGACAGTGCCAGCGCTGTGTCAGTGTTGTGACCTCTCATTTATGGTCGTGCCCAATGGAAACTGTGCGTTTACTTTAGAAGCGTTCATGCTTTGCAATTGCTCTCGATATTAGCGGTTGTACAACAGTTCTTCGACACATTTTAAGGTACATTATCTCAGGCATGGAATCCGTTGCCTCTGGCATGCGAATTTAGTTGGGACAATGAAATGACAGTGATTGTCCCGACTAATCAAGATCCGGACCGTAACCGTTCTGTTCCCCGCCATCATTTCAACAGCACAAGGGCCCGCGCCCATGACTGGTACTTTCGGACGTGACTTGGTCTGTCCTAAGCTCGAATATCGAGGTATTGGTCTCCCTACCGGCTGCTCGGTGGTTCGCTGGTCGCTCGCCCAGTCCCCGTCTGTTCTGCCTGCCAGCAGCTCAGTGGGTCTGGCGCCCTATCCCCTGGTCTGTCCCTCCCGTCCGTCTGTTCGGGTCACCACCGGGCTCGGTCTGGCGCCTCGGCCGGCCGGAGCCGATCCAGAGAGGACCGGCGCCCCTCCAGACGCCCGGCGCGGGGTGCCAGGTGGGCCCTGGGAGGTCACCAGGGCCATTCTGACATCACCGGCCAGCGGCGACCAGCCGCGCCCGGTTTTATCTGGCTGTATTTCCAGCCGAGCCCGTGTTTTGGCCGCGGAGTGGGCCGTGACTGATTCAGCATTCCAGAACCCTACCGCCGGCCGGGGTACACACGGGTCTCATGTCTAATCGAGGCCTACGGGGGGCGCGCATGGCTTTCTAGTGTCGAATTGAGAGCCTCCCGGCTCGGTGCGCACCTGGTCAGGCACTCATGGACCCGAGCCAGAGCAAACTGTTCCCAGCGAAATTCGGGACTGTCTCCAAAAACATGAGATAACATAACACTTTATATATCTATAGGTGGCCTTGGATCCAAATCTGGCCTCGAAGTAGCGCTGAATGTGTTCCCGACAGTTGTTTATGATCCACACAAATGTCAGATCTACATGCACCAATTAGCTAATTATTTTAACTCCGAATGGCTTATTCAATTTCAAAAAGACTCAATTAGCTCCCTTTGCAAGTTCAAGACGATGTAACCTATTTAGATATTCCAACGTAAACACTTGACGACTGCGTCCTTAGGTCGTCATAGTTCAGAGGCCCCGAGTTATGATCTCAGCGCATTTCCCAGCAGACGTACAGGGGGCAGGGTCAGAGGTGGTAAACACGGGGCGCACCTGATTGGCTCTGCCTGCGGCGTCTGCAGCGGGCTGTGCACGGGGCGATAAACAGCCCCCCGTCGTCCCACCCAGCCGCGGCTCCGTCCGTGCGCACATGACCGTCCATCCTCCGCCCGCACACGGCGGCGTACCGCGGCCCGACACGCAGCGGAGCGCAGGACTGACCGGTGACGGACAGTGGCGCTCTCCATAACAGTCACCAGACAGGCCCACAGATGCTAGGTCGGGATAACAAACACTCCAGCCGGCCGCCGACGCTGCCGTTGACCGATTACAGAGCGCGCTCAGCATGGAACGGCCGAGTGTGCAGTTGGGAGTCTGGCATATGACGCGACAACGTTTGGAGTGTATGACATGAGTGAAGGAATGCAGACACGGGATAGTAGGTCAGCTCTGCAGCAAATCGCGGCGCCACTCACCTTCGCTCGTCCGCTGGGTCTGCCGGCGGCGGTGGCGGGGCGACCGCCTCGGCCGGCGCCGCGCCGGGCCGCTCCTGCTGCGACTCCTCGCAGTCTGCCCCCTCGGCGGGCAGCGGGTCCAGCTGGAGGCGCACCAGGTCCGAGGTGCACGAGGTGACCGTGCTGTACACGCTGTCGGACGCGCCGCCCTCGGACTCGCAGCCCGAGTCGGTGCTCAGCATGCTGCTGTAGGCTGGCGGCTTGGCCAGCTGGTGCGGCGGCGGCGGCGGCGGCTCCGGCGGCTCCAGCGCCTCCAGGCAGCTCCAGCGCACGGCCAGCTGCCGGCTGACCGCCTGGGCCGGGGCCTCGGCCGGCGAGCCGGGCGACTCCAGCAGCGGCCGGCCCTCGCCGCTCGACTCCAGAGCCATGCCGGCCGCGCCCGGTGTACTGGAACGACAAACAGGGAGGGGTCAGCGGGGAGGGCCGCCGCGCCGCGCCGCGCCGCGCCGCCGGCCGTGAGGTGCGTCCGCACGGCCGTCAGACGTGATCGGCCCAGGCCGCCCTCTTTAATACTGATGACCCTTCACCGGTCCGGCCCCCGAGTGAGGCGGTTAGCGAACCCAGTCACGTTTTAAGCTGATGAAACATGAAAACATCATTGAACGAGTTCCCTTCAAATTGATGAGCTGAGTTTCGATTTAACACTGTTAATTTTAAATATTTTATAAAGAAGTTAACTTTACGTCAACTTTAACTTAACTTTAACGTCATATTAGACGGTCTATGTTACTGCCATGTATATTTCAAGCTTCTCATTCGATTCCGCTGCCAGTACCTACCTATGTAAATCTAATAGGATAAAGGTATACAGGACCCTCCCACCTTAACATTAGATTTGAGTTGAGATAGCCAAAATGGGGTCCCTGGCTCACAATTACCGGTTTCGGCACTTACAACATCGAGAAATGCCTTAAATCGGAAATATTGAATTTCAAAATTGCAGCATTTTGATTCAGAGGGGCTAATGCATAGGTATACCCCTCTGAATGTGTGACGTCAGCGCAGATATCTAACGATTTTTAAATGTTTGACTAAAACGTTTTGTAGCACGGCGGTGGTATATGCTGCTTAGCGCGCAACAAATGCCGCACTCTCAAATAAAGTCGCTAGGAACAGCGGAGATCCCAAAAAGTAAACAAAAGTAAAAGTCTAATATCTTGAAAACCGGTGAATATTTTTCGTTGAAATTTGGTAGATATTCGTTTTTGCTCTTTCTGAACCGAGCGACATCACTTTCATGCCAATTCATTAACTTTTTTGAAGGTGGGAGGGTCCCTTTAAGTATTTAAAAGGTTACGATTGGAAGGAACGTTAAGGTACTTTCCTCAGTCGTTGCCCGTTGGTCATACATCGTAGCTCTAATTAGTGGCAAACACAATGCTACACGATTGCTTTATTCTGTCGTTTGGCTCGATGTGAACGTTTCATCCAGGTACAACCTCTCGCAGCGTTCTCTGACCGTGCCCCATCGCTCCCTGCTCTCGACGTTTCCACCCGCTCTCCGGCCTCCGCTCGGTATTTCGCGCTCGTTCCCCATCGCTCCCAGTTTCTCAACCAGCGCGGCAGGCACGCCGCACTTGCACCACGGCAGTAACGGAAGAGGCCCTATCGTCTCGACTTCCGTTCGCCGTGCACGCACCAGCCGCCCACCAGCGTGGCATTTAAGGAAGCAATGACCACAGTGACTGATACCGCGCGCGGTGAGACACTTGCTGATTCTCCGTAACATATGGCGTGCCGACTGTTCTGAGCTCAGATTTCGCACAAGTCCCGTGTCGTGTTTCCGAGTAGATCCTCGGCGGTGCAGTGATTGCCCTCCAGTCCGCAGCCCCCCTCCCCCTCTCAGTTACGGGAGCTGTATCCAACCGTGCACGGTACGGCGTAGGTGTGTCAGAGCTCGTGCAGGTAATCGTATCGCCTGGTTACCACGTGACGACCATCGGCGCCGTCGGACAAAGCCACATTACCTCCTGTGTATGTCTGCGGAGACCGGGGGGGGGGGGGGTGATCCGTGCGGTGGCGCAACGCGGCGTGGGGTGGGGTCTCGGAGCAGGGACCTTTGTGTGCTGTCGCTGCTGAACTGGGCAGCTCTGGGAGTCCGGAGCGCACGACTGCCCTCTGGGGTGGCTGTGTTGCGTCTATCAGCCCGTTGCGTCCCGGTCTGTCCGCCGGGGACACATAACGGCTATGTCTGCCGGTCCTCTGTCCAGAGGGGACACGGAAGACGGCCATGGGAGCCGTACCAGTACGGTGACGTGCCGCGACCTTCAGAATCGTACAACTGCGAGACATCCACCACTGTTATGTGCGTTCGGTATAAACACACCCTTCTCAGAGGCGCACTCGACTGCTGCTCGGTTATCAGAGTGCCGTCAGCCACGCCGGCTTACTCGGAATTCTCGCGTGGCCGGCTCGTCCCACGCGCTCGCCGCGGCTCTATCCGCTCTCCGCGGCTCTGGCCGCTCGCCGGGCCAGACCGCAGCAGCGGAGCAGCCCGCCCGCGGCGGCCGGCTGTTTATCCGCTGTGGCGAGCTGCGGGAGGCGACCACCTCAGTGACCCGAGCCGACCGTCCAACCGCAGTGCCGTCCGTACCGACTGTCCCCGCCGCAGTACCGACCGCTCCGCCGCAGTACATGGATGTGCAGTCTGTGTCACCGACCGTCCCCGCCGCGGTATACCGTCAGTACCGACCATCCACCCACAGTATACCGTCAGTACCGACCGTCCCCGCCGCGGTATACCCTCAGTACCGAACATCCCCCGACACGATATACCGTCACTCGTCAGTACCGACCGTCCCCGCCGCAGTACCGAGTACCGACCGTCCCCATGCAGTACAGTCTGTACCGACCGTCCCCGCCGCGGTATACCGTCAGTACCGACCATCCACCCACAGTATACAGTCAGTACCGACCGTCCCCGCCGCGGTATACCCTCAATACCGAACATCCCCCGACACGATATACCGTCACTCGTCAGTACCGACCGTCCCCGCCGCAGTACCGAGTACCGACCGTCCCCGTGCAGTACAGTCTGTACCGACGGTCCCCGCCACAGTACCGCCCGCACACCGATCGCCCCATGCTGTCTCAGACAAACCACACAATATGTCGTCGTCTACAGTGGGGCTCCCCGGCTCCCGCAGCGCAGCCAGTGTCGACTGCTCACGTGGCCATGGGGTGCCCAGCTGACCACAGATGGTCACAGCTGACCCGCGTCCGGTGGTGGTCAGATAGACAGTGGATGTCTGGCCGGCCTAAAACCACACAGCACTGGCATAGCCATGTGTGAGTGATGCAGAAGGATCCGTGCCAGGCATTGGCTAGTCGGATATGGATAATTATTATGATTTGAGCAAAAGTGACATCATGTAGATAATACAGGGTCTCGAATGTCCGACTTGACTCACGCTATATGGAACGGCGATAAGATATAGTAAATTTTAGAAGAATGTTAACGAAGGGCTCCTGCCTTCAAGAAGACACCGACGCCTTCGGCCTTGCCGAAGCTTCCACGCTTTGTTCCGATTCAGAATTCTACGTCAACACCTTGCAACTGGGCTCGGCACCGTGCACCCGGCGGAGTTTTTGCGGCGCACAGCGGACTGCGAACAGCGCGGCGGCGCCCCTGCTGCAGTATGCAGGCGTGCGACCCTCGTGTCACCGCAGCTGGGGTCCGCGTCGACTCACAGCTGCCAGGAGCGAGCCGTTCCTTTGTTCGGTGCGCCGCGCGTCGGTCGGGGGAGGGGTATCAGCTGATGCCCTCCACCGACGCTGCGATCATTACAGAAACGGTGTGCCGCCGCCGACGGTGGCGCCCCTGGCGGCGGCATCGATCGGCAGCTCCGCCGGGCCCGCCCCACGAGCCCGACAACGGGAGCGAGCTCGGCCTATTTTCCGGGCGGAAAGAACAGATATTTTGGAAAAGGCTTATCAACCCACCCTCGTAGGTCGAGACACGGGGTCAACTTCCGAAATCTGTCGGTAAAGTTCTAACGGACAACGGTCAATTTTATTATCCCAAGGCCATTACTTCCATGCACGCCATCTGGCTAATATCAAAATATAGGAATTATTGGTAGGCTCGGACAGTAGCGGCGGAATATCTTCAATTAAGGGGCACTGCTGACTTTTGGTCCCATTCTTTCCATGCAACGCTCATAGGGCTAATGCCAAATGCCAAAATCAAAGGGGGCACGGTGCCCCGGTGCCCTCCCCGTTCCGCCGCCTATGGCTCGGATGACACCAAGCCACTCAGGGTCAAGAACCCAAGATTGTCACGCAGGAATTCTATCCAGGCCGTAGCCTTCCAACCAGTGCACAGTGCAGACCGAGGGTTTCACATTCAAATGGTTTTTAATCTTTATTCAACTCGTTACTTCAACAGCTTCTGTACGGCCAGCATCACACGCTTTAGCTAAATGCAACAAATTCACAAAACGTAGCTCAGCGAAGGGCAGAGTCTATCACTCTACACTAGTGATGTCAATTACAGAAAATCGGAATACCGATACCAAACCAAATACCAACCAGAACGGTGAGGAAATACCGAAACCGAACCAATAGGAACATGAGGCAATACCAAATTTATACCAATTTATCAGCCTCTTATATATTAGTGCCGGGTTCATAATACCAACAAAATACCAAATATAGGAGGATTGAAATACCAAATACCAAGTTGGTATCGGTTTGGTATCGGTATACCAAAATGTTTGTATCCGATTGACATCTCCACTCTACACCGAAATGCAAGTCATAGATAACATGAATCATGTTTTGATGTTATCTATGTGCAGGGGCTCCGCCACAGGGGGGTACGCGGGGGTCCGGACCCCCTCAATAATTCCCATGGGGGGTACAGTACCCCCCAATATTCCGAATACCTGTAACCTTGTTTTGCGTTAGAATGACTAAATCATTCACAGAATGTGTTGAATAATTCAATTAGAATGTGTTGATGGTCGCAAAGCTAAGGAATTTAAGATCTAGAAATGTAGGGAAACACGAAGATGTTGTAACAGACGAAGTGCTCAACAATTGCCGACCTATATTTATGGGAGTGTCATTATTCTACCATTTTGTTATTATTATGAATGCGTTTAAGATTGCTAGGATTAACTTAGCATGCTAGAATTTGGCAATAATTTCGTGAGAGGGGTCCAGCTTGCAGGACACCTCCTAGACACAACACCCGCCCCAAAAGAGCTTCAAATCGATCTGAGAACCCTCTTTCCATGTGAGATCACCCGATAGTGTGTGTGTGTGTGTGGGGGGGGGGGTAAGCCGGTCTTTCGAGCACCATACTAGTTTGAGAGCCTAATGCGCTGTCTGATGGCTAACACCGCCCTTGGAGCGCGCAACAGCGGCCTCCTTTCCTTTAAGAA